CAGACTGCATTTGTCTTTTGCCGAATCTCAGACACTGGCACGGGATCGGGAACGTTGGAAGCACTGTCTGACGCATGTTTGATGCACATGATCACGTTTGATGCAGCTTCTCATTAACCAAAAAAATTATAAGTGAGCTCATAACTGTGCAGTAAAGGTTTGGTAACATCAGCAGTTGTTTCGCACCCAAAAGCATTTCATAAAAAAGAGAAGATTTACGAGTTCGTGACGAATAATCAAAATGAACTTTCGAAATCACCAGTTTATAACTTTACGATGGATTTATGCAACTTATCTGTCACGCCGTCGTCATCGACAGAAATAGCCAACTTTTTGTGAATGGCCAACGGCAAAAAAGCCAAAATCTTACTGTGATCAATGCTTACCCTTTGGTCGGGTGGACAGCAATGAATGTTGGCTTTTGAATGCTGTTCTTGTTATTGCGCTCGTGTTCTATCAGCACTTGGCGATATTCGCCGTTCAATGTCGACACAGAAATACGTGCGTTCGATCCATCGTAGGATGTAAAGAATAAGTTATTGGATAGCCAGTCGATCGCCAGGCCGAACGGATTGTCCAGATCTAGAAGACAGCGTCGCGAACAACGCCAACAAACTGTAAGTACCTGCATCGATCACGGTTTTGATCAGAGACCCGTTCAGCTGGACACGGTGAATGGCACCGGTTTTCACGTCCGTCCAATATAACATCTTTTGCGAAACGTGGATATCTAGAGCACTGACATTCTCTACCAGTGAATTCGTAAGAACTGGCATCACGTTCAGATCTGGCACTTTGCTATCGATTCCAATTATCAACATCGGATGTACGATAAGAAGGGCTTCTTCTAAGTCTGTAATGAGCGGAAATCAGTTGTCGATAATTGCAATATTTATGATACGAAAAAAACTCTTACATGTACTCCGCAATTAGAAACATCACATACAGGATAACAATGCATACAATATTTAATTATAAACAGTATATAAACATAATGACGGTTCCGGCCAAATCGGTTTGTTATCAGAGTAACAAGAGTTTGCACGGCGTCATTTCCATGCGGGTCGGGTTGACCAGCATCAATGACGGTGAGGCACTTGTCGTTAGTCCTATGTGACCTTTTGATGTTTTCTGTTCATGTATTGTTGATATAGACATAAGACCAGCGACAAGTGTGCAGAGATACAGAGGAAGAAAACATAACAAAAAGTTTGAGCAATAGAACCATGGAAATAATGAAAAGTCAGGAAGCACGATGCAAGAATGACGCTAAGCTGATTGTTAGCTGAAGTTCTGGAAAAGCATGTCGAAGGATAACGTGAAAATAGAAACCTAAAACAAAAATGGACTGATGTTGTGGCAGTTGCAATGAAGAAACGGGAGGAGGTCTAGATTTAACATAAGCAATTACTCTACGAAAGGGAACACCGGACAATCCACAGTGCATTAAACCAACGTGAGAACAAACGAAAAGCAAGAAAAGACTAACTATTCATGCTTCCACCAACTAGCATGCTAGTCAAAGGCAATTAACAGAAAATAGAGTGCGATTTTGTTTTGAATGAAAAGAATTGCCAACCTGTACAGGTTTTCTTGTCCTCTTCCAGCTTCATGAGGTAAGGACACTTGCAAACGCTCGAGTTTTCGCTTTCGATCAAGCACAGATGTGAACAACCGCCGCTGTTTTGTCCGCATGGATTTTTTATTAGCTTCGGTTGTCTGGACGGATGCAAAATTTTCACGTCAAATGGTTGCGCCGACGTACCCTGTATTATCTGCACGTCCGAACCATTCCATTTATTAGCCTGCAATGCAGCCAGCAGTTAAATAGATGACCCTACAAGGATCGTAGATGACAAAGTAAGGCAGCAAAATTATGAGTCGCACAAGAAAATGCGCTGGCTGTTAAGCAACCGCTTAAAACATCAGCGGTGCGCAAGCGTCCGTCCTTATTACGCATTACATTTTGTCTTCAGATCGACTTTATGGATTCATGGTTGTTTAAGTCACTGTCTTTGGCGACCTGTCACTACAAGGTGGCTCGCAAAACTGAACGAAGAAACTGTACATTCGTTTGACCAGTCTCAGCGCCAGCGGTTCCGCAGCTGCTGATATGCCAGACTTTAAAATTTGTGGCAAAGCCGCTGCTAAATGACCTGACACCGATCCAAGAAACAGGGATCGCTAACAGAATCCAAGTTCATCACACCATCAGCACGAAATATATTCAAAGGACTAGTTTCACTAGGTACCTCATATTATCTTTACCTATTAATATTTTCGAGTGGACGGAGCTCATTCAGAAGTTTCCAATGCCGTCGTCAAGGCAAATTCTTACTTTTAATAAACATAGCTTGACTCTGCTCAATGTACTAACTACCTCTGAACGCTATAGTGTGCTGTTTAATGAGTTTCATTAATTATATTGTGTCATGTTCATTATTTTGTTAACTACTCCACCTCGTCAGCTGCTGTTTTTCTTCTCCACTAACAGTTCAAATTTTGGGTAAATTAACGATTTCATTGCCGTTCGGTGATATTCTGTAATATCAAATTT